ATTATAGTGCTCCTCAGCCATCTTCCTTCAATCAAAGTTATAGTTAATTAACAATTATTAGTTTTATGGACAACAAGTGAAAGTTATTTTTTCTGCCTTCCTTGGAGTAGTTCCCATACAAATACAATGATGCCAAGCTTCACAAACACGGCATTGAATCCAATTGTGTGCATAGCGGTGCTTGTACTTCTTTAGTATGCGTTTTATTTACACTAAGTATCAATCTCAAATTGTTAATTTTATTTATATCAACTTCTGTGTCTTGAAAATGACCTATAGTTTACATAAAAGTTTTATATAGTAGTTTTAGAAATCACCATTATTAGTAGCAGTTTTCTTAAAATTCTGTCTAGGCTGACTAGCAGTCTTTCTAAAAGTAAGTCCAGCTTGAGTAATATCTATTTTAATAAATCAAATATCTAATGATTTAAATTTTAAAATTACAATTATTAGTAGCAGTCTTCTTAAGAGAAGTAACCGGCCTTAGAGTACATTTAGGCTGGGTAATATCTGTGTAAATAAATAAAATAATCTAATGACTTAAATTCTAAAAGTTACCATCATTAGCAGCAGTCTTCTTCTAAGAATCAGTAGCAGTCCTTAAAGCATGTCTTGGCTGAGTAATATCTGTGCAAATAAATAAAATAATCTAATGATTTAAATTCTAAAAGATACCATCATTAGCAGCAGTCTTCTTAAGTGAGTCAGTAGCAGTCCTACGTCTAGGCTGAGTGATATCTGTGTAAATAAATCAACAATCTAATGATTTTAATTCTAAATTACCATTATTAGTAGCAGTCCCCTGAAGTGAATCAGTAGCCGTCTTTTAAGAGTAGGTCTAGGCTGAGTTATATCTGTGTAGCTCTAAATAAATTAATTAATTGAATAAGAGTTACCATCAATAGCAGCAAGCTTTGTATGAGTATCATCATTAGTAGCATTATTTCTAAGAGTGAGCTTAGGCTGAGTATCTGTGTAAATAAACAAATCACTAATCATTTAAATTTTAAAAATTACCATTAATACTAGTAGCAGTCTTCTTAAGAGATGTAGGCTTAATAATATCTGTCGAAAGAGATAAAATTGTTATTCATATTCTTAAAATACCAATATTAGTAGCAGTGTTGGGTAATTACTTAACTATGGGGACAGTGGGTGAGGTGTTTTTTAGGTTTATACTATGTGGCTGGTTAGAAGAACTTGAAAAAGGAGTGGCAGATGAATTAGACATAACTGATTCTATCCCAACTGGTTGCCGTGAACAGGCACCAATCCAATTCTGGTCCATGAAGGCGAATTGTGCCGGAAGAAGTGACTGCATAATAGCCATTACACACTACACTCTGCCTTCTCCATTATTATATCATCATAGTTACAATACCAGACTTTTTAAGAGTTCCTCTATGCCAAGAATCAATAACTGCATGTGTGAAATAGATAATTAATAAGTTATACTTTCAAACCTACCATCATTGGCTAATGCACTTTTTTAATGTACATCTGGGTTGATTGAGGGTAGCTATTAAATAATTAATGATCTTTTATATAGGCGCTAACCTATATGT